ATTCCCTGCTCTCCAGGCGAGCTCCTGCCTGCTGAACTTGAAATGTATTCCCTGCTCTCCAGGCGGGCTCCTGATTGCTGAACTTGAAATGTATTCCCTGCTCTCCAGACGAGCTCCTGACTGCTGAACTTGAAATGTATTCCCTGCTCTCCAGGCGGGCTCCTGACTTCCACAAAATAGACAAAACAAAGAAAATTTTCTGCCCCCGTTTGGGTATCTGGGCACACATGTAAGTGTAAAACGGATCATAGTACCAAATATCAATAAGAACTTGAAAGCTAAAACTTGAATTGTACTCCCTTGTTCTCCAGGCGAGCTCCTGATTGCTGACTTGAAATGCATTCCCTGCTCTTTAGGCGGGCTCCTGACTGCTGACTTGAAATGTATTCCCTGCTCTCCAGGCGGGCTCCTGACTGCTAGACTTGAACTGCTTCTCCTTATTCTCTAAGTGGGTACCTGATTTCAACAAAAATAGACAAAACAAAGAAAATTTTCTGCCCCAGTTTAATAACTGGGCACATATGTGAGTGTTAAACTGAATCATATTACCAAATATTACTAAGAATTTGAAAGCTAGGTCCTATTATCCAAGGGGGTCCTGACAACTCTTAATTAAACAATNATGATTGTTTTGAATTTTAACTAAGCCACATTTTCCAAGAAGGTCCTGAGAGTTTACGGTCAAAGCTGTCTGGTGCTTGCTTTTCTTTGCGGAGGGTTTCTCCGAAACAAACGAAATTTTTTGCCTCTGTTTCAATCAAAGAAAAATATTGTAAGTTTAAAATGTGGTGGTTGGTTTGTGGCCTTGACTTTGAGGGAGATTGCTCCTTCACTTCCCATGATAACTGATTTCCACTCGAGGACCTTGCTTGCTTATGGACTAACCACTTTCTCTGTCATCCTTATCACAGAAAATACCCCTTCTCCGTTCAGACCCAATTCCCTTTATCTGTTGCATTGCTCATGAACTGACATTTACCAACCTTTGTGTTTCACCGAAAATACC